TGGGGCCAGAGCTGGTCGTAACCCGAAAAATTCGCAAGCAGAGGCGTTCGTATCCCGAGGTATCACTGTATACACACACACAGATACACAGACACAGAGACAATAACATAATATGCACACAAACACACATCAGTGCATATAAAACACACACCCAGAGCGTGTGCTTTATATTAGAGGGATTTGCAACCTCTGGAAAATATGATGTAATAAATATTAGATGTCATTTATGTATTATACTTATAAATATATGCATGTGTATATATAATAGTCATATATTACATACTACATATACCACTAATGAGTTCATTGATTGATTTGATTTGTATGGCTGCCCTTCTCATCTAAGGGACTCTGGACAGCTCAGAACAGTTTAAAAAAAGCAATCCAATAAAAACTTCTTAAAAAAACAATATACAAAGATATAAAAACCATCCGTAATCATTTTAGGACATTTTAAAACCAAAATAATCATGATCAGTGGCAGAATCCATCCTTACATCAGCTCAACACAGCTGCTGTAAAATAGAGAAGATACGATAATTATATATGTGTACATACACACATACACACAGAAACATAATATACATATAGACATATCAATGCATATAAAACACATGCCACGAGTGAATTTATTAATGGAATGTGCAAATTCTGGAGGATACTATGTAATAACTGTTATACTGTATGTTATCTATATGTTACATATTATATTACACACACACACATACTTTTCTTCCTAGCATTTTCCCACAGGTGCAGGGTCCACTTTTTCGGATTAACTGAACGTTGATTCATTAGTTGCAACAGGACTCGACTGACCAGCTTGTTGCCCGAGCCTGACGTCTGGCTGGGGAATTCTGGGAGTTGAAGTCCACACATCTTAAAGTCGATAAGGTTGCGAAACCCTGGTCTAGATTGTTGGATACACCCCTGCAGGCCCCTCACCCTCTTTTTCTACAAAGGGAGTCCTCCAGCTGATCTTCGAACGACTTGACTTGCCCGTGATGCGTGTGTCTGAAACAGCAGCTGGAGAAGAGATGGAAAGCATTTTCATGTCATTAAACTGCTGAGACAGACGAAGCTCACGCTGAGGGAGTTCACACTTAGAATCTTAGAAGTGTTGGGAGGAACTATATTTATTAAGCTTCCCTGGAGTCTCACACCCTTCAGTTGTGTCTCGGAAACATCTCATCTTGCTTATCGGTCTGGACTTCAGTCAAGGAAGAAGGGTAGGGTGGACAAGAAGTCAGTTAAGTTGGGAACGTGCATTTCATTTCCCATGCTGTTGTAAGGTTTTAATTATATGTTGGCTTTGTGCTGAAGGCATTTCTTTTTCCCATCTATCTCCCCCCAAATATTCTAACATTCAGTCAATTAAAGATTATCATTACTGTAGCTTGGGGCCATTTTTGCTATTCTTTCTTCTCCTCCTTCTGCTCCAGTGTGATAAAGCCACAGGAAGAATTGGGAAAATGTGCGGGTCTCCAGGGGTTGCTGGATTCCGAATCCCATCACCCTCATTCAGTAGTCAGGCAGAATTTTTCTGAGTCCAGGGAAACAGGACCACAGATTTCTCCCTTCTGGCTTCCGATCTAAAATTCACAATCAGATATCAGTTCTCTTTTGTATATGCTCAGATTATGTCCAAGAGAGTGATATTGCTTTAAGCCTTTTTGTTGGAGTGAATACTGGGATATAAATCCTACAGATATAAAATAAAACAAAACTATGCCACTACCTGAATTAAGGAGGATCGCTCTAAGATGCCCTCTGGACATCTTCCCTTCCCTTCCCTTCCCTTCCCTTCCCTTCCCTTCCCTTCCCTTCCCCTTCTTTTCTCCTTCCTTCCCCTTCTTTTCTCCTTCCCTTCCCTTCCCCTTCCTTCTCTCTCTCTCTCCCCCCTTCCTCCCTGCCTGCCTACAAATTGTATTTATGCCCAAATCTTCCCAGGATATCTGTTTAGAGGCATCTAGTTCTTTGGAGAAAGAAAAAGGGTGGTCAGCCAGGGATGGCTACAGAGTATGGTCAAAAAAGTCAAGATGGTGGTCCCAATGTTGCAATCAAAACTACACCTGCTCTTTATGTGTGTGGCTGTTAGCAAAGGAGGAGTTCTACAGGCCAAAAATGCAAAATGAGTCATAACTTCTGCTTTTTAGGTCTTTGGATGTATGAGAGTGAAACTCACTTCTTGTGCTTCATACTTTATGTGAGGACAGCCTAAGTCCTAAAACTATGCAAATCAAGGCAAGTCACATCAACAGATCATTTGCTCCTTTTTCAAGGCAATGGGAATGGTGCAAGGAAGGACAACAATAAGGGAGATATTCATTTATGCAACACTTCCTCTGGGCTGGCCTGAAGGTTCAGCCACAGCTACATGGATGGCTCTCTTGTTAAAAGGGTAACTTTGCCCCAAACATATTTTGGCAATTCTGAGGGAGCTATTCCAAGCTGCCGATGTGGCTGGCTTCATGCATCGCAGTAAGCTACGATTTGCCTAACTGTGATTTATTGAATAAATTACTATTGGTGGAACTTGCAAATGCTTGCTAAAGCCGTAAGACCCAGTTACAAACCTCAGCACTAAATCAAAACCATGCAAACCATGTTAGAACATACAGGTAGTCCCCAGTTTAAGAAGGAGTTCCGTTCCCAAGGTCCGTTCTTAAACTGAATTTGTACGTAAGACTGAAAAGCATTATTGTGTAATACTATATAAGTAGTATTGTGTAATGAACTCGAACCATTATGGATTTAACTCGAATCATTGCGTATTTAACTCAAATTTTGCTACAACAGGCTCTGTTCGTAACTATGGGTCGTCCGTAAACCGGGCGTTCTTAACCCGGGGACTAATTGTAGTTCTAAACCATAAGATAGTGTGTTTGGCTTTGGCTTAGCACATTGTATGAACTCACCCATTGTGGTTGGTAAGCTGTGGGCTGTGTTTAGCATCTATCTAATTTTGGCTTAATCAACCAACCCATGATTAAAATATACTGTGATTTGCTGCAATGGGTGAACCATGCCACAAAATGCTCTGTGGCCGAGAACTGAAATACCAAAAGGATTGCCCTCCTATTTTTTTGAACCAGCCTGGCTACCAAGATAGAGTATGAACTTGCTCTCGGGCAATTTTTGATAGGAGTGCTCTGCGTCATTCCTTCCCTGATCAGCTACAGACCTTGCAAGTTGTCGGGAAGAGCTGGAGATTCCCATGTTCCCCTAAACTTTCTGTTGAGTTTGTGTGGGATTTTGTGTGGGATCTGAGCATCCTTCAGTTAGTTGTCGCTGTTGCTGACTTTGTTTCCCATAAAGCTGTTTTAGCCAGCCCTAACTTTATAAGGTTTGGGTGTTTTTAATCTTGAAGTATTCTCAGCTTTGGAATTCTTTCTTTAATAGTGAAAAGCAGGTCACAAATATTGTCAAGAAAGAAGTCATGGAGGAGACCGTTACAGAGCATCCTGAGGTACGTAGCTCAGCAGAGCACCTTATTGTGCCCTGGTGAACCACATTCACAGCAATGTGGAGATCAGACAGCAGAGGGCCCGCGTGGCCTGCAGACACATCACACGTGGGACTGGCGCAGCAATTTCTGGAGCGGAATGTCATTCAATTTGCTATGATTGCTGATTGGATCAGTATATAAGCTTTGCAAGGGAACAGCTGGTGGTGCACCCTTAAATCAATGTCTGATCTGCAGCAGAAGCCCACAGCCCTTTGCTGTGCTTAAAACTGATTTTCTCTCCCCCCT